TTAGAGAGTGAGGCTTCGACTATAAGTGAGGTTTCACAGACAAGGTATAAGAAAATAGTCAGTGAGAAAAATAGAGAGTGAGCGATATTGTAGTGAGGTGAGAATATCAAAAGAGGGTTATTTCTTTTGAGAGTTGTTGTAGTCTTTGGAGTATTTTACTCGGACCTAAAAAGTGTAAAATTCCTTACTATAGTGATATCAGTTGCTCGTCTCGGGGCCGTGGTTTTTTTTTTATTCAAAAGATTTTCCACGTAAAAATCTTGGTGTCATTGTCACTCTTTTTCTTGCTAATTATTGTATCTCGGTGCTACGTGATTATTCTGCTTTTATTACTGTGAATATTATTTTTGTAGGGGGTTTATTCCCAACATTTCCTACTCTTTCTACACCTTAGTCAAGCACTGTATTCCTAAGTTTACAAGTGTCATAAAAGATAAAGAGAAAGAGAAAAATACTGAGAGGTTGAGTCATTGTTCGTTTCTTTGGTGAGCGAGTAAAAACCAAAGTGTCGTTGTTGGTGAGCGAGTAAAAATCAACTCTTATACGTTGTTGGTGAGCGTGTCAAAACCAATCCTTGCTCGTTGTTGGTGAGCGAGTGAAAACCAACCTTGTAAACGTTGGTGGTGAACGCTGAAAATCACAAAGGCTGTACATATTCAAATTACAAAGAGCTCAAAGAGATAACCTCCTTGTAAGCCAAGGAGACTGGATTAGGATACCATATTGGTTCTGAACCAGTATAAAAATTTCTGGTGTCATTTACCTTATCGCTCTCATACTATATTTTGTGCTTTTACTGTTTGTTGTGATTTATATTTACTTAAATCGAAAGGACTAACAGTTTCGTGTAGGTTGTCTCCATATCAGTCGACTAAGTCTAAATATAGTTGACGAATTTTTAATAGGCGTACAATTCACCCCTCTCCTCTTGTACTTTCACTCCATAACATTTAGAAGAAAATTTTATTCATATTCGGCACCTATATCAAATTGTAGAATACAATATATGTATTTTCATAGATAAAGTTATCACTTAATCATGATTAAGTCACATGTATTTTCACTATAATTTATAATTTATAACTGTATGAAGTAAAATTGGTTAATAACATATGGTCGAATGGTAACATGACACGTGAAATCGAAGATAAGCAAAGGACGAGTCATGGAGCAACCAATACCGGACATAACGGGTGTGACCAGTACCAAATAAATTTCAAAAGAAACGTAGTTGACGGTAAAAGTTCAAAGGTTTGCCATTGGACAATATTCAATGAGGGAATATTCGTCATCACTAAATGAACGACCGTTGTAGAGAATATCTGCATTCAAGGCCTGTCGTTACATGTTTATAAATGATTCTTTTATTATCATTTAAGAGGGGCTTGATCCGAGAATCTTGTTTCTCTAAATAGAGTTATAAATAGCTGGGTTAGCAACCATTTTAAGGATATATGAAACTTTCCGCACACAAAAGTTTTACTTTACTATTTTTGCTCTAAATTCAGCAGCTTTTATTTTATTTTATCATTATTTACACTTTTGCTCTCGGGAACGCTGAGTTCGGAACCGGGCTTGTTATATTCTTCAATTTCAATCGTTAATTCTTAATTTTCATCCTATTTCTTTATTATTTTTGGATCAAATCAATTCGCTTGTCTATAAACCACGCAATAAATTTAACTGTACCGTTTTACGGATAAACAGTAACTGTTCAGGTTTTTTTTACCACCTTGAGGCGGTGTAGGATTTGATTCAGACCCCTATCTTATTATAACTGCTTTAATTGATATAAATACTAGAAACAAATAAATATTTGGCCGCACACACTGTATAAAAGAAGTCAAGTTTGATAGGTAGCGTATATTCGATTAAACGGGGGAGAACCTCACTGGCATGAGGTCTTGAATTGCAATGTCCGACCGCTATTATGGTTTCTTTCAAAAATGTATATCAAATCTCTGTGTAATTTATATTTGCATGGAGTTCCCCCAAAAAAATAATATTCATTTAGATCCTGAATACAGTCGTTTTGATAAATTAAAGTTATCTTAAAATATTTGAGGGCGTTTAATACGAAAAAGACATCGTTTCATTTTTTTTTCCAGACCTACAATCTTATTTATAATGATCACAAGAAGATTTATTCATCCAATTTCGTTGGTCTTATGGGAAGAGTAATGAGAAGGATATGAATGCAAAGAAAATGACTCAATAGAAAATGATATTAATCGTGCTAGCTACTATATCGTAAAACTGATTGAGACTGTTCAGTTATTAAGGCATCTTAAATGCAGGAAGTGTTTTGCTATACGACAAAGGACCAAATATACCCCTCTACTTTCGAAAATGGTTTAAGAATATCCTTCGTTATACTATTGAGTTATTTATACCCCTGCAGTCATACTTTGGGTTCAAATATACCCCTCATTTAAACGGAGGGACACGCGTCATTGTCCTGTTGGTCAATTCTAAATATCTTCTAATTAATTAAAAAGACCCATTCATCATACCCGAAAAATAACTTTTTAAAGTAATTTTTTTTTGTAAAAACTGGAAAAAACTGAAAAAACGAAAATATTTTTTTTTCCAGTTTTTACAACAAAACTGTTTTAGAAAAAACTGAAAAATATTTTCTAAAACAATGTTTTTGAAAAAAACTGAAAACAAAAAGCTTAAAATTAATTTTCTAAAGCAACTTTTTTTGTAAAAACTGAAAAAAAAGAAAATATTATTTATCCAGTTTTTACAAAAAAACTGCTTTAAAAACTAAAAAATATTTTCTAAAATATTTTTTTGTAAAAAATGAAAAAAAAAAACTAAAAAGCAAATTTCTAATGCAGTGTTTTTGTAAAAAATGAAAAAACAAATTTTTTTTTTCAGTTTTTAGTTAAAAATATTTCAGTTTTTTTCAGTTTTTAATTGCTTTAGACTTTTTTTTTTTTTTTTTTTCAGTTTTTACAAAAATATTATTTTAGAAAATATTTTTCAGTTTTTTCAAAGCAGTTTTTTGTAAAAACTAGAAAAAAAATATTTTCATTTTTTTCAGTATTTAGTAAAAATATTTTTTTAGTTTTTTCCAGTTTTTACAAAAAAAAAAAATTATTTTTCGGGTATGGATAATGAGTCTTTTAATTAATTAAGAGATATTTAGAATTGACCAACAGGATGATGATATGTGTCCCTCCGTTTAAATCAGAGGTATATTTGAACCCAAAGTATGACTGCAGGGGTATAAATAACCCAATAATATAACGAAGGGTATTCTTAAACTATTTTAGTAGAAAGGTATATATGACCGTTTGACGTTTGCTATAACCATTGTTTTGAGGGTGCAGAGGATGGACAAATCATTGCTTGACATCTCACCACATCTTTTAACAAGTCAATGCTATTCCAATTTGGACTGTCAATTTTAGTTGTTGACGATGGAACACTCAAGTAACATGTTNATATATATGGAAGTTCCTAAGACTTGAGAAAATAAGGGAATAATTACAAACACCCATTTCGTTTGCTCTCTGGAAAAGCATGTTAATATAAGCATTGTTGTCATCTTTGTTTAACACAAAGTCGCTCGCAAGTTTGCCCTGGTATGCATCAGTGAGAGTAGTGTGCGATTCTAATTAGGTTGAATTGATCGTATTTATCTAATTAATTATTTAATACGATAGACTCACTCTATTCACTTGATTTTTGGGTTATAATCATTATGTAGGAGACATAGCATTGTAATAATTATTATGTGAGTTTTCGTTTACGGAGTACTCGAATTTATCTCATTCCACACTTATATTAATCCACTATCTAGCTCGACAATAGGCTCAAGAACTACTAATTAACACTATTATTTGCATCACCCTTTTTTGTGTTATTTCATCATAAGCTCAAAAGTTGCTTCCTAACGGTAAGTGGGGAGAGGATTTATATATTAGCTAATTACCATCATATTCATGTCATAAATAATGGCAAAGGGCCAAATATCCCTATACTATGAGAAAAGATTTAAATATACCGTTTGTTATACTTTGGGTCCAAATATACCTCTGATGTAATATTATTGATTCAAATATACCCCTTTTCTATTAAGTTTGTCCAAGGTAGACATCCAATCCTATGTGGTATTGACATTTGATGAGGTGGATGCCACATGACATGCCACCTCAGTGCCCCTAATCTATATATAAAAGACTAAAATTTAAAATACAATATTTTTTATGGTAGCGGTAATGAGGGTTAAAACTAAAATAGAAGGGAGGGGTAGAATGGGTTAGAGGCGGTGAAGTGGCAAACCATGTGGCATCCACCTCATCAAATGTCAGTGTCACATAGGATTGAATGCCCACTTTGGACAAACTTAACAGAAGATGAATATATTTGAACCAATAATATTACGAAAGTGATATATTTGGACTCAAAGTATAACAATAAATAAGTTTAAACCTTTTCTCGTGATATAGGGGCATTTGGCCCTTTGCCGCATAAATAATCACAATATTAATTTAGTTTAGAGTCTTTTCGGCTTTGACAATTCAACTCACAAAAAAAATCAAAGGTCTCTTTTCCAGTAAAAGTTTCTATATAACATACAAACTTAATTCTATAAGCGAGAATGTTATTGTAATTAAAGCAAACACATGTTGAGAATGCAATATGACCAAATACATGACAATATCCTTTTTCTTTTTACTGTTTCAACAGATATAGATGAGCTCATAATACATATATAAATCCACTTCCAGCACAGCCCTACCACGTCTGACTTGACTGTCATCAACTTGCAACCTTTCATCCCTTAGGCTCTCTCAATTTAATACTAAAAGATATCTAATAAAACAGCTCACCAACACTTTCTATAGATTTATTTCTATGTCAAAAAAAGACCATCCACAAACCCCTTTAATACTGAAAACAAATATTTATTTCTATACTAGCACAAGACAAAACAAAAAGAAAATTACAAATCTTAGAGACGCCCCCTTTACACAAGTTGTGGTGTAGATTAAATCTTTCGCTCTCCACGCTCCCTATACTTACACTAGTACTACTACTATTTCAACAACAAAAAGAAAATAAGAAGACATTTCTCAAAATCAAACACAAACCATTTTCGGCATATACTCCCCACAACCAAACCATTTTCCTCAGTTTAAGGCTTAACTAATTAATTGTCTTTTTTATTTGTGTTCCAGTTTTGGCATGCAACGTTAAATTCACGTAACTGCAGTTCAAATAATTACGTGTTTGGTTATTGTGTTATTGTAATGCTTGCTGTGTCATCTTTGAGTAACACAACGAACAAAGATGAAAGGGGTAACGAGATGGAAAGTTTCACGATCGGAGGAGGTGACGATTTTCCAGATTTTATGGGTGAGAATTTGCTCGACAGTATTGATTTTGATGACCTTTTTGTTGGGATCAACGACGGAGATTTGCTACCAGATTTGGAGATGGACGCAGAGATTTTTGCTGAATTTTCAGTTAGTAGTGGCGATGAATCTGATGTGAACAACTATAATATCTCTACTCCTACTACTATAAAAAATGTAGAACAAGAGAGTTGTTTAAGAAAAGAGGAAGTGGAAAAAACATCATCAGTTTCAGCTTCAGATCTTGGTTCGGGGTTAACGAGCCTGAATTATCAGGGAGATGAAATTGTGAGTACTCAAAAGAGTGAAGAATCTGCACCACCAGTGAATCAGAATCCTTTGCATAAAGAAAGTGATAAAGGCAAAAAGTCATCTGCTCAATCCAAAAATAATCCTCAAGGGAAGAGGAAAGTTAAGGTAAAGAGAAAAAGAAGATCGAAAATTTTAATCATTTTTTCGACCTTTGATAAATAGGAAATGACTAATTTTCAAATAACCTAACTCTCTTTCATATTTATGGAATTTCACAAATGGGAAGCAAACCTCACGAGAAATCGTGGGTGTCTACAAATCCTATATTAGAAACGCAGAATATTTGACAGTAAAGTTAGGAGATACTACTATGTTTTATTTACATTGTTACGAATCTAAAAGAAGTTTCTTTTAATTTATTTTTATGGCTTGAGTTTTGGTGATAAAATGGGAAGTTTTCTTGAACTGTGTGAAGGTGGATTGGACGCCAGAATTGCACAGAAGATTTGTACAAGCAGTAGAGCAGCTAGGTGTAGATAAGGCAGTTCCATCTAGAATTTTGGAAATTATGGGAATCGATTGTCTCACTCGCCATAACATTGCCAGTCATCTTCAGGTATTTAATCTTCTCTCTTCCCTTTAACTTTCGATTTAGTTTTGCACATCCCTTTTTCTTTTTTATGGTTATATAAAATGGTTCTTCCTTCTGGGCAAAGCTGTTCCACTGCATTTTGAAAGGAATAGATTAGACAATGATGAAAAGTAGGAAACTACTATTTGTATACTTTCCCTTGTTCTCTAATCCCAAAAATAAAATGGCATATTCTTTAGAGAGAGAAGCAGAATTCATCTGAAAATAGGAAGTTTTCTGCTTTGCTCAATTGGAAACACTCTAGAACACACACAAAAAAAACAACTGGATCCTCCTGGTTCAAATTTCTAAAGCATATGAATGTACTAACTTAAGTATAAAAAATGACTTGCTAAGTCGTTTATGTTACAAAAAAAGACAGCTCAGTGCCGCTATGCGCGGGATCCAGGGAAAGGTCGGACCACACGGGTATATTGTACGCATTCTTACCCTGCATTTCTGTAACGGCTTGAACTCGTAACCTCCTGGTCACGTGACTTTACCCGTTACGCCAAGACTCCCTTTCTTTGTTTGTTACAAACGTTTGGTTATAAATACTGCATCTTCAGAATTGTAGTCATCCCACGGAATATCGAGTTCAAGTAGTTTGATGGAAATTGTTGAATGTGCAGAAATATCGATCCCATAGGAAGCATTTACTTGCAAGAGAAGCCGAGGCGGCGAGCTGGAGCCAAAGAAGGCAAATCTACGGCGGTGCAGCTGCCGGAGGCGGAGGAGGAAAGAGAGAGATAAACCCATGGCCTGCGCCGACTATTGGCTTTCCTCCTCCTCCTCCAATGGCAACTCCAATGCCTCATTTTAGACCCTTACATGTATGGGGTCATCCATCTGTCGACCAATCATATATGCACATGTGGCCTAAACATTTAGCACCTTCACCTTCTCCTCACCAGCATCCATCGCCAGCTTGGCCACCTCCTTCTCATCTTCATCTTTCACCACCTGCAGATCCTTCTTTCTGGCATCCACATCATCAACGGGTGAGTTCTTTTTACTTTTTGTTTTGGTTGGTGAGTTGGGAGGGGGAAGCTCTATCTTTTAGTATTACACGTCTTGGTCTAAATGGAATAGCATTTCTATTCTGCATGTTTATGGAGTTTGAAAAATCCAAATATCTCAAAGATAGATAGATAGAAAGGGAGGGTTATCAATTTATTCTGTAAACTACCAGGGGCTCATGCTGGATAAATGATTCTGGGATGGAGCAATGAACTATATTTGATTGGGGCAGTTGACAATTGAATCCAATATGTCAACTTATAAATTAGGAAATCTAACTACATCAACTTGAATTTTTTGAGTGGAAGCAGTATATATGTTAAACTAAGTGACTATCTCGTCTGTCTAAAAGTTTGTCGTTACAAAAAGTATGATTTTAATTACTTAATTATATTATGCCTTTAACATAAAAATATTATATTGAAAATATTTAAATAAGAAAACATAAAAGAGTGTATTCTTTTGTAGAAACATAAATGAATTAACTGTAAGTGAGATACTAATAATTTTAGTAATAACAAATTTGACCTTAAAATTAAACATTTTACTAAGAAATGTTTATGTTTGACTACAAGAATAGAATGACAAATTCTCCTTTTTCTGTTGTTGCAGATACCAAATTCTCTTACCCCAGGAACTACTTACTTTCCAGCACCTATAGCACCAACGGTAACTATTCAATCAATTAATCATTAATGCTCTTTGAATTATTACTTCTAAGGAAGTATATGCAATTTAATTACTTTTGGATTTTTGTAAATACAGACCATGTGTTTCTTGGCATATATAGTACTAGTATCTTTTTTTTAAAAGTTTGGCTTATATAGTCAGAATAAATTGATGCAGAGATATCATGCTCCTCATCCAGTCCCAGGCATTCCACCCCCTGCCGCCATGTACAAAGTAGACCCCGGCATTGGCGTTCGAACTGCCGTCGCCGGAGCTGGACAGCCTCTTCCCAAACCTCCTTGTGACTTTCATCCTGTATGCCCTCTCTCTCTCTCCCCCCTTAATTAGCTTCTCTCATGATTCTTGATTTAGTTCATGCATTGTACAAATTGTTAAAAATAAGAAAGTACGTACATTAATTTTATTTACTTGGTCACTTTAAACGGACCATGCACTTGAATGAATGCCTTTTCACTCCAGCATCATGCTCATGCAATAGGTTAATATGTTTAATGAATTTGTACTTCTTATTGTACCCAAAATGAGGTTCAATTCTTACTTAGTCAAGGTAGATATAAATGCATACTAAGATTGAACGACGGTTCTAAAATATGACACTTGCAACACTTTTGGTACACAGCTCCATGTGCATGTATATATACAATTTATTACTCCTATTAGCTACTTTAAGCATAGAATTTAACTTTTATACACCAATAGTACCCAAAAAAATATTGACTAAGGGTAACTTTTCATAATAATTGAGATTAGTAATCTGAAAAATGAAGCATGTGACATACTATAATTGTTTAAAACATTAATAATACAAAAATCATTTATAGCATCACATATAAGCTAAATCCTTAAGCATACATAGTCAAGATCGTTTCTATTCGCTAAACTTGGTACATATTATTTTCCGTTTAGGTCATTGTTGTCTATTGAAGTAGGTGTCATTGTTTTAGTGCTCATGTTCGAGAATTTTTTTAAGGTATATTTGCTCAGTACGTTAATTTCATTTCGAAGCTTTCAATATGTTTTACTAACATATTTGTGAATAATTGACAGTCAAAGGAGAGCATAGATGCGGCTATTGGAGATGTTTTATCAAAGCCATGGCTGCCACTTCCCCTCGGACTGAAACCTCCCGCTGTAGACAGTGTGTTGGGAGAATTACAGCGTCAAGGGGTACCTAAAATACCACCAACTTGTGCATAGAGTTATTGAGGCAGTGCATTCAGACTCCAGAGGGTCTCCTATAACCCAAGCGCTATAATCTGCATGGACAACTCACGTGCTGCACAGACAACTCACGTGCTATAATATCATATCAGAATCCGCATAGAAAACTCACGTGCTGAGGTACAATACCCACAAATAGGCCATCAGCCTCATAGCAAAGCCGGTGGAATTTTTTGGGGTTCTCTTACACCAAGAAACCCTTCAATTCGACGACATTTCCTGCACGTAGAGATGAAGATGAATTAAATCTGTCATCACCATCATCTATAATGCAGTTTTTTCCCTCATATATCAGAAAACTTTTTTTTTTTTTTTTTGTTTCTTAACTTTGTTGTCCTACTTTGTTCTTGTTTCGTTATGTGCAAGGACATGCTTTAACTTAACAATGGGGTTTGCACATGCATGAACTGATATATCTTTTTGTGATGATGTAATCACCGGTTTGAGAATTCTAATAATAGCGAGAGCTTCTTGTAAACTTGCTCCAAGGTTTTCTTCTTCAATTCCTACCTTTATTTGTGCATTGACTCTCTGATATTAATTATTTGAATAATGCATGTAATATTTTTCTTTTCTGAGTACCAAACTACACTCAAAATCCACATGCATTATACCGGGCATGCACACAAATGAACGAGAGATATAGTTAAAAGAGAAAGGAACTCTTCAAGCAATCTTACTTTACGAAATAAATATTCAAGAAAAAGGCGAGAAAGAATGCACAAGTTAAAATACTAGCTAGATTACTCCATGCATGAATATGAATATCGGGTAATTTGAGCTCATAGATGTCTTTCAAATTAAGCCGACCATAACTGACGTAAAAGTCATGCACATGGAGCTATTATGTTGCATAGAATCAACGAGGTATATACCCAAAAAAAAAACTTTTGGAGCCTCAGAAAAAAACAAGAACAAAATATGGCTAGCTAGGGTACATTTAGGTGGACTGTTGTAATCATCATGCATCATATCTACTATTTTAGAGTTTGAACCAGACATAAGTAGGGGATTGAATTGTGTTTTATCCTATTAACCCGATTTCAAAGAACCTGGTCTTAGAACTAAGCAGCTAGACACAAACAAAAATAATTGCAGAATTTAAACGATACAGAGATTTTTTATGTGAAAAACCTCATTGCTCAAGAGAGTAAAAACCACAACCTTAATATTGGCTTAAAAGGGTTAAATTTGACTTGAGTCAACATTTGTGATAAACGAACTCGAAACCGTGATTTGACGGTCCCAATAGAATCGTATAATGATTTTGGACTTGGGCGTATGTTCAGATTGGGTTTTGGATGACCCGGGAGCATTTCAGCGCATAAAGTTGAAAGTTGGCGCATTTAAGGTTTTTTAAGTTCTTTAAATTTGGTTTGAAGAAGGACTTGGTGTTATCGAGGTCGATTGGAATTCCGAGCCTGGGAATAGTTTCGTATGGTGATTTAAGACTTGCACGCAAAATTTGGTGTCATTCTGAGTAGTTTAAGTATGATTCGGTGCGTTCGGAGTAGGTTGGAAGAGCTTGAAATTCATAAGTTGATTCTATTTGGTTTTGGGTTGTGATTCTTAGTTTTAATGTTATTTTTTGTGTTTCGAGAGGTCGAGCAGGTCCGTAGTATGTTTACAAACTTGTTGGTATGCTCGGACGGGGTTCCGGGGGCCTAGGGTGAAATTCGGATCGAAAACGGATTGGAACCTTGAAATTTGGGAGTGTTGTTGCTGCTGAACCTGGTGTTTTCGCACCTGCGGAGAATTGCCGCAGGTGTGGTTGGTTCATTGCGGGTGCGAGGCTGTGGAGATGACCTGGAAGCGCAGGTGCGAGGAAAATTCCGCACCTAAGGTCGCGGATGCGGAGCGTGGCCACTGATGGGGAAATGGCTAAGGTAGCCTGGGGTCGCATAAGCGGACTTGTTCCGCAGGCGCCTGCCCGCAAGAGTGGAGGAAAATTCGCAGAAGCGGATGGGGGCCAGTGTGGGCAAGGTCGCAGGTGCGTGGGGCGAGCAGCAGAAGCGGGATCGCAGGTGTGGTACCCTTCCGCAGGTGCGCCCAGTGCTGGGTTGTGTGTGTTCCGCAGAAGCGGTCCTTTGCTCGTATAAGCAGCGTCACGGGTGTGACTCAAAGTCCGCAAAAGCAGAAATCGCTAGAGGCAGTGAGGGCATTTAATGTCGGGACTTAGGCAATTTTAGCTCATTTCTTTCACCTCTTGGGCGATTTTGGAGCTCTTTGAAAAGGGGTTTTCAACTAGCACTTTGAGGTAAGTAATTTCTATATGAGATGAGTTTAATACATATATTTCGGGTAGATTCTTAGCATATAAAGTGTAGAATTTGTGATTTTAGTTGAAAAATCTAGGTTTTGATAAAAAATGGGATTTAACCACAAAAATAATTATGGAATTGGGTGAAAATTATATATTTGAATTCTTGAGGTTATGGATAACAGTTATCTTCGAAAATTTCCAGATTCTGGGCACGTAGGCCCGGAGGTGAATTTTAGGAATCTTTCAATTTGGGTTGGGTAATTACTCTAATAGTTAAATTATTAACTTTTGAGCATATATTGATTAATTTATATAATATTTGACTAGTTTCAGATTGTTCGGCCCCACGTTGGGTCCTTAGAGTGAATTTGTGGTCGGAAAATGAGTTTTGAGACGAGGTAAGTTTCTTGCCTGACCTTGTAAAAGGGAATTTACTCCATAGGTGATTTAAATTACTATTTATTTCAAATTGTGAGGGCTACGTATACACGAAGTGACGAGAGTCCATGCGTAGCTACTAATCATGCTTAAGTCCGGGTAGTTTAGGACCCAAATCGTGAAATACTTGTAATGTTTGCACCCTACTTGTTAATTAAATTGCCTAAATTATATTGAAACTTGATAAAGGATTTGTAAAGAATGAATTTCACTTACTTGAGTTTTAGCGGGTTACTTGATCGTTAATAAAAATTATGCTTCTTTGTGTATTAGCCTTATAATAGCTCGGATATTCATAAAGTATACTCTCTTCTTGTGGAGCGGGCCAAATGTCTCGGCAGTATAATAGATGCATTTATGGTTCGTGCCGCTCGACCCTTGGCAGTGCACACATTATTCTGAATCGGGCCGTACGACCTCGGCATAAATCGTGCATGTTAATGCTTGGAGCCCGAACACACTTGATAATATTTTCATGAATTGAGAGGTTATAATTATTTAATTGCCTGAGCTTTACTTGGAATTAGGATGTGTTAGTGGAAGACTTTTGGAATGTACTATCAGTTAAGAATCATTTAATCATTGTTGCTATTTTGTTAATATTATTATTCACATTTTCTATGCTTATATAGCATTCCTGTATTTCATTGTTAGCCCATAGTAAGTGTCGATGTCGATTCCTCGTCACTACTTCTTCGAGATTAGACTGGATACTTACTGGGTACATGTTATTTATGTAGTCACGCTACACTTCTGCACTAATCGTACAGGATCTGAGGCAGGTGCATCTAGCATTCATCCCCGCGCGCACCCCCGTTACCCCGAGGTCTAGTGGTGAGATGCTTTCTAAGCTCGTTCTGCAACACTCGGAGTCTCTCTTTTGCATTTATTTTCTGTCTACTCTATTTCAGACAGTAGTTTAGAGTTTTGTATATTCTACTAGTTGCTCATACACTTGTGACACCAGGTCTTGGAACACATGCTAGTAGACTTTATGGTTTTGGAGCATTTATTTCACTGCATTTGCTCGCTCATTAGCTTTCGCTTTACTTTATTAATTTTTTTACTCCTTATTTTCTTAATAAATGAAATTCAACTAATTGGAAATTTATTAAAAAGAACAATTACATGGTTAGTTCACCGTTAGCTTTCCTAGCGGCGACGTTGGGTGCCATCATAGCCTATAGTAGGAATTGGGTCGTGACAACATGGTATCAAAGCACTAGGTTCTCGTAGGTCTCACAGGTTATGAGCATTCCTAATAGAGTCTTGCGGATCGGTGCAGAGACGTCCGTATATATCTTCGAGAGGCTATAAGATGTTAGAACGCTACTCTTTCTTCATCTCCTATCGTGCAGTTGATGTTATGCTAAGTATCTTTCTCTTATTCTCTCACAGATGGTGAGAATGCGCGCGGCAAATGTACCCGACCGTGGAGGAGCTGCTCCCCCTGTTGCTAGAGGCCGAGGGAGGGCTCCAACTCGTGGTAGAGAATGAGGGCATCCTAGAGTTTCTCTAGTTATGCCACCAATGGATCCAGTAGAGGATCCTATTATTGAGGAGCATGGCGAGGTGCCTGCAGCGGAGCCAGCCCAGTGCATTTCATGTCCGCACCGAGATTCCAGGAGGTCATAGGCCGTATGCTACGGGTCATGGATTCTATGACTCAAGCTGGTTTATTTCCAGCGGACCCAACCACATCTCAGGCGGGAGGGAGAGCACAGACCGCTACCGATCAGGCTCCAGGGCATGTAGCTACCGTATATCAGACCCCGGGCGCACTAACCATGGGCGGAGCTCAGCCAGTTGCAGCAGCTATACCTGAGCCCAGACCAGCTGCGGCCGGCGAGCCGCAGAAGCTATTGGACAGATGGACCAGGCTTCATCCTCCTGTCTTTGGAGGTGAGCGACATGAGGACCCCAGGACTTTATTGATCGGTGTAGGGACAGACTGCACAACATGAGGATATTAGAGTCCCATATGGTGGACTTTACCACCTTTCAGTTGGAGGGCAAGGCCCGTAGATGGTAGCAGTCCTATCTTCTCGGCAGACCAATAGGTTCTCCTCCCATGACTTGGGACTAGTTCACACGCTTCTTCCTGGACACATATACTCCACTCTCTTAGAGGGAAGAGTTGCGATTTCAGTTCGAGCAGCTCCAGCAGGGCCAGATGTCGGTGACCGATTATGAGACGAGATTCTCTAAGTTGTCTCGCCATGCACTTATGATACTTCCTATCGATGCAAAGACTGTGGAGGTTTGTTGCAAGTTTGCACTCTGGTACCCAGGCCACTATGGCCCGAGAGGGTGAGTTGAGGACTTCGTATGAGCTAGCTATGGAGATAGCTCGGAGGATCGAGGGTGTTCGTCAGCGGAGCTAAGAGCAGGTGACGAGGGATAAACGATTTCGATATTCTAGGGGGTTCATTGGTGCTCCGACTGGGGGCAGAGGTCAATTTGTGAGGGGTCAGTCTAGCAGGCCCACGTATCCAGCAGCGTCGCCTCCTCGGGGTTCTCCAGTGCAGCCCTATTTCAGCGCCATCCCAGAGAGCTCCTATCGTCCACCAGCTATTCAGGGTTCCTCCAGTGGGCCTTCAGGCCGTCAGGGTCAGACATCAGGTCAGCAGTCCACCATACCGAGAGGTTGTTTCGAGTGCGAGGATCTTGGTCATGTGAGGAGGTTCTGCCCCAGGCTTTGGGGCAAGGCAATGCAGCAGGGCCCGCAGCCTATGATTACAGCACCAGCTACCACACCAGCCGTCCGACCACCCAGA